CCTTTCACTAAAGGACTCAGGCAGGTATATGAAATTAACATTTAAGGGATAATGAATTTATGGTGGGTTTAACTTTCGTGGTTAAACGAAACTATGAAAAGAGTCACATAGTTACACCACTACCCATCCCTATGACTTGGTGTAATCAAGGTTGAGATAATACTCTTAATGAGTTCATAGCCTTGAGAAATGAGTGGTCCTTTGAGATAGACTTGATGAGCTCTCCGCGAGTACATACCTTCGTGAGGTTGGAGCTTGATGGATATATTATGTTCGGGAAAAACCGACTCGAAGGAACGAAGCAAGAAGGTGGGCCCGTGCTCGGATCAAGACACCTTTGGCCCAAGGCACTTCGGCCCACGCCAAGCTCAGCCATACCGACCCCGACTCTGGTGGCTCGGTCGTGTGATCCATGGACCTGGTTTGCGTTGGGATGCGGTCAATACGGAGATGCAACCACCTCCGGTTTGGTGAGTGGCGGTTTGAGGGTTGGGTTGTATAAATACCCCTCACCTTGTCTCATTAAGACATGTTCACTACTTTTCCACTACTATTGTCCTAACGAATCATTGTAATAACCTGTCTATTATTATAATATAATATAAAGTCTCCACGACCTTACGACATCGTTTTCATCTACTTATCTATTTCCATAATACGTCCTTTATCGAGTTTAGTAATTCGGGTCCACGCCCCGGGTAATTAAATCCATCAGAGCTTCTCTTGGCTCTTAATGATTTCATGGCTCATAGAACTATAGAAGCAGTACAGTTTACAATATATATAATACATGAAATCACATACTTGAGTGTGAAGGATTAGCTTAGCCTCCTTCTATGGAAGACTTAGGACAGCCTTTCTAGAGCGCACTCATATATGAGCATCCTAAGGTTATTTTTTGGCTAAGATTATTTGCTTGTCTTTTATTGGTTATAATGAGTGAAGTAGTGCTTTTTATCGGCATGCAATGTCACACAGATGATGCAGCTTCTTTAATGGAGAGTGATGCAAGCTAAGCTAAGCATATTCAATTAATTAATATCTGTGCACCATCCAATTGAAAATGGCATTGCATGGGATCTGCAATAAATAAGTAGGCAGCAGATCATTAATTCTGGCACCACCATCTACCCATTTGAATTCAGATAAGTCGATCATATCATATCACTTATAAGCCCCCTCTCCATTCTTCAATGGGATCATAATTTGGCCACTTCACTTTCAATAATTCCGCACTAAAGTAATTTGGCCGGCCAGGTTCAAGCCAGTGCATGATATGATAGATTCTTGTAAAACAAACTTATTTAACATTACTACATACACTCCACTTCTTCAGCAACGTAACACATTTGTTTTCGTCAACCAAAAATGAATTTGTTTCTTATGTTTTGTCGATTCACTTAATTTTAAAATTCAATTTCTCATAATTTATTGGGATATACTATACATAATTAATGTTGTCTTGTACTGTGCACATCATAATAGTGTGTGGCTACTTAAAATACAACCACAACTTATATATATATATATATATATATATATATATATATATATATATATATATATATATATATATATACACACACACATACTTGAAAACATTGACCTTTAGGTGTGTTTGGGAAAAAATGACTTCTCAGGGAAATATTGTATGGAAATTAAAATGAATTATTTTTCAAAAAACATTTTCATTTTTAATGTTTGGTTACATTATTCTAGAAAAGTGTTTTGGTATGTTTGGTTTATTTTTTCAAAAATGTGCAGAATTATATAATTAAATATTTTAATTGTTTTGTTTAGACTATAACAACATTTATAATAGATTAATAGGGAAAATCATCATTTTTGTTCCTCAATTGTTTCTCAGCTGTCATTGTAGTCTATAGTTTTAAATTTCAACTAATTTGATCATCGAATTGTTTGAAATTTCTTCAATTAAACCCTTCCGAGGGACCAAAATGGTGATTTCTCCATTTTTTAAATTTTGTATTGATCTTCGTATTGACAAAATTTTAAACAATTTGATGATTAGTTAGTTAAAATTGAAAACTAGGAACTACAATATGACAGTTGGGAAACAATTGAGGGACCAACATGACGATTCCCCCCTTTATAATAATAATAATAAGAACAACACCACCACTACCAACAACAATAATAATAATAATATAAATGGTGGTAATGGTGGTGTTGGTGGTGGTCGTGGTGATGTTAGTGATGGTGGTGTTATTTGTTATATAATAATAATAATAATAATAATAATAATAATAATAATAAGTGGTGGTGGTGGTGGTGGTGGTCGTGGTTGCAGTGGTGGTGGTGGTGGGGGCGGCGGCAGCGATAGTTGTAGTGCCGTAGTGGTGGTGTTGGTAAAAAAATTGAAAAATGACTTCTCAAAAAGGAGAGAATGTCATTCTCCAACAAAATGAGAGTATTTTCATTTGACAAAACATTTATTTTCCCTTTGACACATATTTTTCACTATTGATCAAACATTAAAAATTCGAAAATCATTTTCTATATTTCTAAATACACCTTTAACCAGGGAAAGAGTGATTGAATGGGTAAAACTTTTTATTTTTTATTTTTTATTATCACAAGTTTACTTCTTGTTACTATTTCAGTTCAACCCATCGTCCCATTGAATTGTACAAAATCTTATTAGTGCGGAAGAGATATTAACAATGGGTGACCGACAATATTTGGTAGCTTCTAAAAGTTTATTCTAGTTGACTGTGAAGTTAGCTACAACCTTATCATTTTGTTGCATCCTACAACCACCTTATTTATTGGCTCAAATAGTCATTGTAACATCCAATCATATTTCTCCATTATTCTCAACTGTATAAAATTCAAGCGTTATATTGTAGACCAATGTAAAAAAAAAAAAAAAAAAAAAAAAAAAAACAATGTTATTTAATTTCGTAATTCATATAAACGTGCCTTTAGTGACATTGTTTTAAATTTGTTTGTTTGTTTGTTTTTTTTTTTTTTTTTTTTTTTTTTTTTTTTTTTTTTTTTTAATGAGCAATTAGAAATAACATTGGTACTACATGCACAAAATTTGTTAACTGTAGATATATAATCTATTCACTACATATTTATAAAAAGTAATGACAAAAACTTGTGTGAAACTGTCTCGCCGTGAGATGGGTTGAGTCGAGTCAATATAAAAATGTAATACTTATACGTACAAATGTCATATTTATATGCTCAAATGTAATACTAATTATGAATAAAATTTTTGTTACTTATAAGGGTAATGTAATACTTTTAAATTTTAATTTAAAAGTATTACATTTTTCATCAAAAGTATTACTTCGTATATTTTTCCTTATAAATAAAGGCCACTTTAACATTACTTATTATGGAAAATGTAATACTTTTAATGAAAAATATAATACTTTTACATCAAAATGCAAAAGTATTGCATTTTTTTCTCAAAAGTATTACATTTACCTTATAAGTAACAAAAATATTATTTCTCATTAATTAGTACATAATATTACATTTGAGCATATAAGTACGACATTTGCATGTTGATTCGACCCGTCTCACGAATATATAAGGATCCGTGAAACGGTCTCACACAAGCGTGTACCTTAAGTAGTTTCATAATAAACTTACTAATTTTTAACAAAATGTATATTTAAACTATAACATAATTATAAGGAATAAGCGTCAAATAGGCCACCGAACTATATACCAAAGTGCAATTAGGCCATCGAACTCAAAAACAATATAATTGAGTGATTTGGGTCCCTGAACTACATAAAATCATACAATTAGGTCTAAAATGATTTGTTGACCTGAAATTCTGCTGACGTGGTGGTTACCAATTTAAAAATAAATTTTAAATATAATTTTAAATAAAATAATTAATTATTAAAAAAAAAGACAAAAAACTAGAACTGCCGGAGACGAATCGTCTCCGACAGTCTTCGGCCATGGAGACGAAGCATTCGATTGCCGTTAGTTACGTAAACATATGTTCATAATTTTATAATTTCACATTCTAAATGTATATTTATGAAGTTATGGATGTGTAGTTATGCAATTCTGAATGTATAGTTATGAAGTTATGGATGTGTAGTTATGCAATTCTGAATGTATAGTTATGAAGTTAATGGATGTGTAGTTATGCATGCCTGAATGTATAGTTATGAAGTTATGGATGTGTAGTTATTCAATTTTAAATGTATAGTTATGAAGTTATGGATGTGTAGTTATTCAATTCTAAATGTATAGTTATGAAGTTATGGATGTATAGTTCAAATTATGCACACCACAACGCCGTTAACGACAATTGAAATTGATTTTTTTTTTTTTTTTTTGTTAAGTTGGACGTCAAAACGACGTCGTTTTTGCAACTGCATGGTGCACACGGTTGCACAGCATAAAGTTCGACTGACAAATTATATCGCGCACCGCGATGCATAATCGATTATGCACCACGCATCAAAACGACATCGTTTTGTTAAATGAAAAGAAACGACATTCGTTTTCCGCCGTTCCGCACTCTTCCGCAAAAAGTAACTCTATTATTCAGTTTCATTTTGTATACACTGCAGTTTCATTTCAACACAACTACAGTTTCATTCGATATTTATAGACTCAAATATGTGAAAATGTTATTTAATTTTATTTTATAGACACTATGTTTTTATTAAAACACAACTGCATGATCGTTTTGATATAATTACAGCTTCATTGTAGAATATACACTCAAATATGTGAAATGTTATTCAATTTCATTTTATATACACTGCAGTTTCATTTCACCACAACTACAGTATCATTTTGATATAACTGCAGTTTCATTTGATAATATAAAAATAATAACGTGATGCAGTGTCGATTTAGATATACTGTAGTGTTAGTTGGTGTTTAATACACCAAACATGCGGACTCCGTTAACGGTAGCCGTTTTTGACCGCGATGCACGGTCTACGATAAAACGACTGAGTCCGACTGTATTGGGCTGGTGATGGGGGCCTTTATTGGGCCTAGCCGATGATCAATCCAATAACTGACAAAATTTCGCCGAGTCATTTCCGACGTCGTTTCGAGCTTCTTCCACCCTCATTCCTTCAAATTTGAAATTTTATTCGCGCTCTTGCGATTTGATTTGTCTCCATTCCCAATCTCTATCGTTCTCTCAGAGTCATATACTGAGTGAGACTTGGTGCGATGCAGTAAAGTGAGTAATGGTAGTGCGCTTCAGGTGAAGATGTCGACGGTGGAGAAGCTGCTAGTTCAGATCTTCGAGCGGAAGAATTCGATCATCGAGCAGGTGAAGCAACAGACTGATTTGTACAGCCAGCACCTCGCTTCCAAACTCCTCATTGAAGGAATTACTCCTCCTCCTTGGCTCTGGAACACTTCTCTATCCTCGAATCTCAAAGGTCACGTCATTTCCTGATTTTCATTTCAAATTTCTGCTAGTTTCACTTGATTATATATTCTAGGGTTCCATTTGAGTTGTGGAAAATTCTCAGAATTCTAGGAATGGAAAGTTGTTTTTAGTGCATTTTATTCTCAGCCGATGTCCAAAGGTGACACTTTTGTGGCTCAGGATCTTAAACTGGAATTATTAGTAATTCAAAAGTCTTGTTTAGAAAATGCATATATATATTTTTTGTTTACTGAGTCGAAATATCTTTTTTGCCCCAGAGTTGAACAAAGATGAACTGATTTCTGAGATTTTACTTCCCCGTGCTTGGCCTTCAGCATATTATCCCAATTCCCGTTACTCCATCTATAATACGACAGGAGTCACAGGTGATAATGGAGAGCTATCAGATGGGGTTTTTGTGGAAACTTACGCATCCAGTAAAGATCTTCATGCTGGAGAGGGGCCAAGCAGCAGAGCTGTTTACCATGATAACAACACTGAAGACGTTCTTAAATCAATTCCTGAGCTGGATGTAAGGGTTACCTTGCCCCAAGATGAGACAGATACAAGAGCTGAAAGCACTTCAGATGCTCCAGATCAGTCGCTGGCTAAAATTCAAAGGTCTAAATCCAGACAAAAGGCTCTGAAGCTTCGTAATAGTGCAAATACAAAAGCTAGGAGCCAATCAAGCATCAAGTGTAGATATGATGTCACCTCTATTGGGATTGATTTTTCTGCTTCTGTGTCTGAACAAGTTAGTGAGTCATACAAATTTCCTGAGGCTTCTATGCTTGTTAGTGGAGGCAATGGGCTCCCAGCTGAAAGAAGTTGTCCAAATCAGGAAAATCGGAATGATAATTATACTGGTAGAGTTACGAGGTCTTCAAGTTGTTCTATAAAAAGGAACTGCATGAGTGACTATAGTAAAGCTGACAACTATTCTGACATAGCTGAGAATGTCATGTCAAGTCAAAAGAATATGCATGCTGTTGCTTCAAATGGTATAAATATGTCTATGTTGCTTTTTGAACAAGAAAATCTTGTTAACAAGTCACCAAAAATATCTGAACCTTGTATGATTAATACTGAACCTTATGCAGTTCAGGAGTCAAGTGAAGGTGATCATCAAAAGCTTGAAAAGGGGGTGGATGTATTCACTGGCGGAGTTACAAGGTCTAGAAGTTCTGCCAAGCAACAGAATTATGTGTATGATTCTTTTGAAGTGAATAGCTCTTCTGATATAGCTAATAAGAATTGTGGTGGTCAAGCACAGCCCACAGTTGATTTGCCAAATCAATCGGTGAAGGTGGTAAACTTGTCTGATATTACTGATAAAACGGGTCAGGATGTATGCAATGCAACAGTTAGAGGTTCCAGTGCTAAGAAGAAAAAGTTAACTGGCATTTATTCCGGTAGGACCACAAGATCTATGAGTTCTACCCAAAAGTGTTCTATCACCAGTGAAACTTTACAGGTGGATGCATCCACTTACTCAGCCAAGGTAAATAGCAACATAATTGCTCAAACTTCTAGGGAAACATTGGAGAAGCTTGTTGATACTAAGAAGCATTTGGAATTGGTTCAGCCTTCTATTTACTTTGACAATAGAAGTTCAAAGCCACAATGTTGTTCTGGTAATGAAGTCATAACAAATCTTGATAAAATATCTAGTATTGCTCGTGCAAGTGGTTCCGGGACCAAGTCTGCTGCTTTACAGAAGTCATCATGTGAAAATCAGGACATTCAGAATGCATCACATGATAATATTATCTTGACAGGTCCTGAAAAATGTGATGCTGATAACCAGCTGGGAAATGCTGAAGCTGATTCATTGAAGTCTCACATTCCCCAATCTAGTCCCAGTGAAACCAATGGAAGAATAGGTTCAGAACGTCTAGTTCCAGAATTGCCTTCTGATTGCTCTATGCTAGTGAAGCCAAAGCAACTCAACTTTGATGACATGGAAGAGTGTAACTTGAATGAGTACACCCATTGTACTTCTGGAGACGAAAACTTGGACATAGCAATCAAAGAAATAGGTTGTACTCCAATAGATCATTTCTCACTGAAAGAAAAGCTATCTTCTAGCAGTTCTCATACTATATTTTCAGAGAAACAATCCACCCTGGAGCAAGATATTTATAGCAAGTCAAATAGACTTTCAAGCTGTCGTGTTGAATTCACCACTCAAGAGCCTGACAGATCAAAGATAGACGCATCAGACACAGAAGTGCATGCTTCAAAAAGTAGCTTAGATGATCCAGAGGCTTTGCAGTGTTTTGAAAATTCCAACATTTCACCTGAAGAAGATGTTATGCTGGCAAGTACTTTTAATAATTCTGATGCAAATCACCATCATATGAAGCTTAGTCCAATAGAAAGATCAAACTCCTTAATAGAGCCATACGTAGAAGTGGTATGCCTCACCTTTATTTTTATATCTACAATTTTTAACACAGATTTTAATCTTCTCCCCATAAACATCAGTTGAAGTTAACCTTAAAGTTGCTAGGGGAAAGTTTCAAGTGCCTTCTTTGATGCTCTTCATTTTTCTAATTAGCCAATAGAACTAACAGTATTTTATTTTAATTTTTATTTTTCTCCATTTACTCTGTTGCACATTCCAATAGCTGAATATCTTTGTCCAATTTGCATATGATAAATAATGTTTGCATGTGTATCTTCTGTTCGATGCTAATTTCTTTGAAGGTGATAAATGAGTGCTGGCTTTCCTCAGTACTGGTTTTGCTTATTTTTTATTTTGTTTTGTAAAAGAAGTAACTGTTGAATAGTGTAACTTTTTCTAAATAATTTTTTAAGAACTATTGTTGTTAAATGGATATTTTCTATGCTTTATGCAATAGAATTTTACGACCATCAAGATAAGTTTTCCATTTCTATCAAGCTTATATATCTAATTGATCAAATAGGGAGTTTCTGGATTTAAAAGGTGTGATGAAGGTACAGCTGCCTCATGTGCTGGCAAGAGTAAAACTATGGTGACACCTTGCAGCACAAGTTTGACTAATAGGACAACTGGAGATTATAAAAAATGTTTGGCGAAGGAAGTTGCAAATGAAGATCCAATTACCAGTTCATTTGCTGCTGGAGGACAGGCTTACATTCAAGGTAATCAATCTTGTCTTGTCTTAAAAGTAAATTTTTTTGTTTTGGAGATGTGTCCAAAATCATTGAAAGAAAATGGCCTGCTTACATGACTTTTTATAGGGGCTGGAGTTGATGATGAGAATTTCAGTCTTGAATCAAAGGAAATTCAAATTGCTATGAATTCCTCTTTACTTGAAAGAAAATTCAGATCTACTAAGGTTAGTTCTTGGCCGCAAGTGAAGAGGAGAAAGCTTGAAGATCAACAAAGCAATTGTTTTTCTGCTTCTCGGAATTCCCAGACACCAAGACTTTGCAACATAAAAATGGCCAGTGGAAGCATAGATCTGCATAGCATTGAAGGACAAGCAGGAGTTGTATTGAAAGAGGATGCTTCTGGAGATAACATTATTAGTGAACTGTGCCCAATTATGGACTCCTGTGTACCAGAAGGACTGGATTTGACTTTAATTGCTTCTCATGACTGCATGGTTGAGGAAACAGGCAGAGGAGATCCTGTTGACTTAATGTTTGATGCGGATGGTTGCTACAAGCCAAATGAACAAGAAGATGCTGCTACTACTTCCAATGCCGGAATACTTCAGGTGTCGAGTGAAAGTAAAGGAACAGTTGGTGATTTTTGTGATTCCATAGCTGAGGTAAAAGATAGAGATGTTCCAGAAGATCCTGGTGACTCAATGTTTGATACAGCTGGTTGCTACAAGACAAATGAACAAGCAGATGCTGCTACTATTTCAAATGATGGAATACTCCAGGTCCTGAGTGAAAGTAAAGAAACAGTTGGTGATTTTTGTGATTCCATAATTGGGGTAAAAGGGAGAAATGTTCCTGCAGATCCTGGTGACTTAACGTTTGATACAGATGGTTGGTACAAGCGAAATGAACAATCAGATGCTGCTACTATTTCCAATGATGGGATACTTCAGGTCTCGAGTGAAAGTAAAGAAACAGTTGGTAATTTTTGTGATTCCATAATTGAGGTAAAAGGCAGAGATGTTCCAGCTGGCCCTAATTTTGATTCATGTGAGTATTCCAATGAACAGAATTTCCAAACTGCATCAATGCTTGAGAACAATATTAGTTTAGTAAATAATGAGAGCTTATGTACAGGGAGCATAGTTCTAAAAAGTAGCTCTCATATGTTGGAAGACAGCCTTTATCCACATTCTTTAGTTCATTCTTCACATGATGAAGTAGAGTCTACTGGTATTGATGATTCTATGCCCGTTTTTGAGGGTTTTGTCATTGATCCCCCTGGTGCAGATGGAGAACTGGATATTGCTGGAGTTGGAATCAACTTTGAAGCCCTGGACCTTCCAACCACTACAATTGAACGTGCTAGCATCCTGGAGCAGATATGCAGATCTGCTAGCACACACAAATCATTGTCCCATTTGTCATCTGCTCTCAACTTACACAGGTCACACACCTTGTATCAGTCTCTACCTGAAGGTCTTGAGCACATGGACTTTAGAAGCACCTCACTTTTCAGTGAGGATATTGACAAACAGTCTAGAGCTAGTACCAGTTGTGATGAGGAGGAAGTCGGGTATTCTGCTCAAGGGATATCTTATCCAGATTGTTTAGGTTATTCTGGTGCCAAGTTCAGGTGGAAATCCGGAAGTCCATATGCATCTCCTGTTGGAAAGTTATGGGAAAGAACCTCATTTCATTCTGGCAGCTCAGAGAAACAATTGAACTCAAACCCAGAGCTTACTTGTTTCCCAATCAAGGAGGACTCCACTATTAGTGAGGAAAATGAGAATGTGGATAAATTGGCTGATGAAATCCAAGATGATATTGATTCCTTAGTGGGAAATAGTCATGCCAAAAGACAACCACTTTTTGATGTAACTGCTGAAGCTTGTTTGAATGCTCCTGCATCAGTCTCTGCTGCAGAGAAGGTTCAAGCTGGTGGTAGAATGGACTCTGCTAAATCTGATGTTGGCTTCAGTGGGACACGTAATAAAGCCAAAAGGAAACTTCCAAGCCACTGTAGAAATACTAGTGTCGGAAAGGAAAACCAATCACTATGTGCAACCGGAAAGAAAAAAGAGAAGCACTCACATATAGATGGGTCCAGGAAGCCGAATTTATCAGCTGCTACTAGTTTGAGGAGAAATGAGCAGAAGCTTTCGGAGAAAGGGTATAATAGACATAACAACATTATTTCAAATGTTACTTCATTTATACCACTCGTCCAACAAAAACAAGCAGCTACTATGTGTACAGGTAATTCTGATTTTGCATATGTTTACCTGTGATTCCAAACTAGTTTGATATCACTTGATCTAGAAGATATATCGTTTCGCTTTCTTGAATTTTCCATGCCATATACTAGCATAATTAGGAGCTTAAGAGATTTCTATTCTTTTCATATATGTATAACTAATAAGCCTTGTCATTTCAATCTGAAATCTGCTTATTTTGAATTTTGAGTTAAATTTTAAAAGTTTAAATGGTTATTTGAGCAATTTCATCTTGTTAACTTGGTTTTTCATTGCACGATAATGGGAACTCTAGTAATTTCCCAGTAGTGTGTATATTTAAATTTTTCTTTACCTTGTCCACTATCTTCAAGGCTTTTTACTTTGGAAGCAGACTACATAGTACAGTTGTTTTATGGATTCAAGTAATTATGAAGGGAACATCTGACATGGAAATTCAAAATTCTTTATTTGTAGCTTTGACAAAGCTGTAGGGTTGTGAAAAATTTCTCAGCTCATCTATTGTTTTGCAGGAAAGAAAGATATAAAGGTCAAGGCTCTGGAGGCAGCTGAGGCTGCAAAACGTCTTGAAGAGAAAAAAGAGATTGAACGGAAGAAGAGGAAAGAAGAAATGAAGCTTAAGAGAGCACAACTGGAGCAAGAGAATTTGAGACAGTTGGAATTAAACAAGCAAAAGAAAGAAGAGGAAAGAAAGAAAAAAGATGCTGCAGTCTTAGCAAAGAAAAGGGCTAGGGCTGAAGAAGAGAAAAATGACAAGGAGAAGAAAAGAAAGCGAATTGAAGAATTACGGAGGCAACAAAATGACCAGGAGGAAAAATTGCGTGCAAGGAAATTAGAGATAGAAAAGAAGTGTTCTGCTATTGTAAGATCACTGCTATATCTAATTTTGTCAACCTATTGTATTTCAACATAATTCACTCCTGTGGCTTTTTCCAGGATGAAAAAGCAATCAGCATGAAGGAGAATGATGATAAATTGAATATAAGCCACACAGAAAAAGAGATAGGAGACAGTAAGGGCTCTGATAAGCCAGTAAGTGAACTCAGACAAGCTGAAATTTTGAAAATTGATAACCCAGTATCCACAATCTCTCATGAAAGCCTTGACGCCTCTGTGGATCATAGTCAACATGAGAAGGTAGACACTGTACCATAGTATGATTACTTTTACACTTATTTTTCAATTTATTCACAGCACTCCTTTGTCTGTTACAGCATTCATAAGTTGTTGATACAGGTCCTATAAAACCCTGTTAATAGCCATGTATTTCTTTCCATGGAACTTCCAATGATATCCTTGGTCTTTTTCAAAAGAACATAATGCACACTATGTCTAGACAATTTATGATCATTCTTTGCTAGATTTCTTTATCACATGAAAGGTGAAATTCTTTCTAACCTCTGGATCTCCTAAGATCCTGCAACATAGGAGGCTTGTGCATTAATTTTCTCTTTATCAAATTCAAAACCCCTAATTACCTGTCCAATGGATGTGGTAAAAAGAGGACAAAACAAAGTCATTTTTTAACTTCCCATGTTTTTGTTTGACTTATTGAGTGATTTACATGCATGAATTTGAGTATTTGTTAAGATCTTGGTACTGAGAAGTTTGGCTTATTTCTCCAAGGTGATACATGCCAACTTGGATAAACCTGGCAAAGATCAGAACTTCACTGCCAAGGAACCTAAATCGAAATCATATGAGATTTCTCCATATAAATGTTCAGATGATGAAGGTGATGAGGATGAGGAAGATCAACCCATGCGAAAATTTATTCCCTCGTGGGCAAGGTAATTAGATTCTCCCACTAGAATGCTGCTAGTGCTTGCTCAATCCTGAATCCTGATGTGCAATAGCTCAAGTGTTAAAAATCTCAATTGATGATATAGTGATATACCACTTAGGTGATTAAGCTGGCATTGTGGCAATATGATGACTTATGATGTTCTAGTGTTCTATGAATATCTGACTGTGGATTAATCTACAATGATACTGTAAGTTTTAAAAAGTGTTTTTTTTTTTTTTTTTTTTTTTTTCCAGCAAAAGTTGTGTCGCTCTGGTTCTTCCCTTGCAGCAAGAAATTGATCCTGACTTCATTTTCCCCCCAGAAAGCTTCTGCAGTATGGATGAAGGTATGCTTCCCTTCATGATGGAACAATTTCAATACTCAGTTCTAACTGTATTAAGCGTCACTTCTTCTGAACCTAATAATTGAAAACATAACTAAAGTTCCCAACTAAACTCCTTGTAAGTCAAACAAAAACCAACATAAATTAAGCATGGTAATAAATGAGAAAAAAATAGTAGCACCATTAAAAAGAAACATGAAAATTATTTTGTTTCACTTTGATGCTCATTCAGTTTAATGTTCATCGATTAGTTCTGTCCTAGTGTAACAATATCTACTTTGTATGCAGTTCTCCTCCCTCGGAGGGTACAACAGAAACAAACGGCTCTGTGAGTGGATTTGTTGGAAATTTTCAGAAAATTTTGAGTGGTATCTTCCAAGTTCTTCACCTAGACAAGGCTTTTGCCAATCATCTGGTCATGAGATTACAATGATGATGTGCATATGGTGTACACTTTACATACAGTGTGAGATGAAGTTTTGGGTACTCCACCCACCTCCCTGAATTGAAGCATCTGAGAACATCAATACTGAGGAATGCAACAAAATTGCCCTAGTAATTTTAATGTTCTAGTGATGTTTTATCATGATGCCAAGCAGCAGGTTGTCAGTTGTTTCAGTTATTACTTGGAAGTCAAAAGAGGGAATCATAATAGCTGCTCTTTTGCGGAATAAATACATGTAATCTATTCTCGTGTAACATCTAGCTACCGTTGTAGGATTACGAATAAGATTTTAGATGCTATAACACTGTAACAAGAATGACCATGGAAAGGAATTTAACAATTCTGTCAAAATGTGCTTCTTCTCCAACGTGTAATTTGATTGTTTTGCTTTTACTAATATCATGGTTTTCATTAGAGTTATGTTTAGTTGTTGACTTTAATGACTTTTAGCTCACATATATTTTTCAAGGTTGAAAATTAAAAGCAAAACAAATCAAGATTGAGATTAAAAGTCAATAGTATTATAGTTATAAGACTTGAACTTTATTGCAAAAATTACTTGGGGGTCGTTTACTAACTTGGAAAAATGGAGGATTTTCCAGAAAAATGGAGAATTGAAGAAGTGAAAAAATGAAAATGGGAAAACTTGTTTACTAAAATCATTCTTCCAAATTCTTACTCTATCTCCATTCTCCATATTTCTTAAGGATTTTGGAGAAAGAAAAAACCAACTTCTCCATTTGGAGCAATGGAAAGACACGCGTGAACAGTGCTTGTGTTGAGATCTAGGGATCGATTCCTGCTAGGTGCATGCGCGGCGTCCCTCTTCTCCTTTTTGAGTTGCCCACTGTTGGTCATGCATGATGCATTCCCCTCCCCCTTTAATTATTGTTGCTCCGCATTACTAATTATTATTATTTTTTTCTTTTTCTTTTTTCCCCTCATCCTTATTTTTATTACTAATTAAATTTTTGTTATCAATAAATTATTATTATCATTTTTTCTTTTTCTATTTTTTTTCACCTCATCCTTATTTTTATTACTAATTAAATTATTATTATCATTTTTTCTTTTTCTTTTTTTTTCCCTAAAAAATACCATTACCGTTATAACTTCCGTTATTTTTTTCATTATTGTTACTATGTACATGCATCTACCATATATTTTATTATATTCTTCAACAATATATATATACATACATACATACATACATACATACATACATACATACATACATACATACATACATACATATATATATATATATATATATATATATATATATATATATATATATATATATATATATATATATATTGAAATTATATGTTAGTTATTTCCTAACATATAAATATCAAATTTATAAAAATATTTTACATTATTATTATTATTATTATTATTATTATTATTTACAATAATTTAAATATTTAAAATTTAAATACATTTACAATTTTAATATAATGTACCAGGATTATGTGGTCTAATGGTATTCGGGTTGGACTTCCATTTGGAAGATTGTGATTTTGAGCCTCAGTGGAGGCGTTATTGGCTCTTTGTGTTTCAGTAGGTTGAGAAAGTATATGAACAGATACTATATTGTAATAGAGCTAGTAGCATTAAAAAAAAACAATTTTAATATAATGTACTAATATTTGGTCCCTATTTTTTTTTTTTATTACAAAGGAAGGGGGATACCCATACAATCTATGCCTACACTGAGGCTCGAAACCTAGACCTCCCACATAGGGGAGCAATCCGATACCAGTGGACCACAAGCCACCGGTTTTGGTCCCTATTTTTTGTGCATCGTGCATAAAAAATACTAGTAATAAAATAAAAATTTAAGAAATTAAAAACGGGAGGAATGGAGAAATGAAAAACTGGAAGAATGGAGAAGGAAAATTGAAGGAATGGAGAAATGGAAAACTGGAAGAATGGAGAAGGAAAACTGGCGAAATGGAGAAATGGAAAACTGGAAATGGAAAAACAGAGAAATGAAGTAAACGACCCCTTGATCTTTTCTAACTTAATTCTTCCTATTCCACTTGACACTTCAACCGGCAAATGCTATAAATATGTAAATATTTTGATAGTTGAAGTTTTTTTTTTTTTTTTTTTTTTTAATTTTTAATTTTTTGTTTTGTTTAATATATAATATATATTCAATAGTATTATAGTTATAAGACTAGGACTTTATTACAAAAATTAATTGATCTTTTCTAACTCAAATCTTCCTATTTCACTTGACACTTCAAACGGTAAATGCTACGAATATGTAAATATTTTGATAGTTGAAGTTTTGCGTTTCTTTTTGTTTTGTTTAATATATACGGAGTAATATATAATATGAGTAATATTGAGCCATGCCAACCATATAATAGATGCTCTCAGTGTTGCCAATATCAGCAGGGTTTGTCTTTTTATTATTATTATTATTATTATTATTATTATTATTATTATTATTATTATTATTATTATTATTATTATTATTATTATTATTATTATTATTATTATTATTATTATTATTATTATTCATTTTGTTGGGTTTTATCTTCTTTTTTATTTAAAAAAATTATTATTTTTGTTTTTCCATTTCCTATTTTCTTAATTGAATAGCCTTCCTACGCGCCCATATACCTTACATCTCCATTTTCCAAATGGTCACTGCACTGCCCTGCTTCTGGAAAACCAAAACTTCTTTCAATCATAGCCATGGAAATGTATTCAAGAAAACTCTTTCTTTATTGTGTTTTCTTGATTCTCTTCAACCCCGTTCGCTCACAGAAATTGATCTTCGATTTTCCATCTTTCAATCTCACTAACCTCACTCTCCTTGGAGACTCGTACGTGAAAAATGGCGTCCTGGGCCTCACCAGAAGGTCACGAGCCCCATCTTCAAGCTCCGGCTCCGCATTGTACAAGAATCCAGTGTGTTTCTTCGACAAACACGCCAATCTGGCCGCTTCTTTCTCCACAAAATTCACTTTTCTGATCGACAGCGTGAACCCGTGGTCATCTGGGGGCGGATTTTGCTTCTTCCTTTCCCCTTACAATCACACTTTGGGGAGCTCAGGAGGGTTCTTGGGGCTCGTGGACTCGACCCAGATCACCAAGAACAGATTTGTAGCGGTGGAGTTCGATACAGAGCAAGATTTGCACTTTGATGACCCGGACGAGAATCATGTGGGGTTAGATATAGACACCATTGTCTCTGTGAAGACTGCCAGTGCGATGTTGGGTGGGATTAATCTCAAGAGTGGCTTCTTAATCACCGCTTGGATTGATTATCAGCAGAGCCAGAAGAAACTGGAGGTTTTCTTGAGTTACTCTACTCTCAAGCCGGGAACTCCTATAATGGCGGTGGATATAGACCTCTCCGGTTACCTCCACGAGTTCATGTTCGTGGGCTTCTCCGCTTCCACTGAGCGAAGCACCGAGCTTCATTTCATCGAGAATTGGAGTTTCCAGACTTCTGAGGTTAGGGCTCTGAGACCAGGAATCCATTCCCACAATCTTGATTCTGATTCTTCTGTAGTTCCAGTGAGACAGCCATTCCAGGTTTCTATCAAGATCCTAGGCTTACTGGTTCTTGGAATTTGCGGCGCAGGGTTCATGTGCGCTGTTCTCGTGGTGTTTTGGTGGAATTCTGTGAAGAAAATGGAACAAGAGAATACCATGGGTTCAGAGGTTGTGGCAGATCACAGGCAATTCACTTACAAGGAGCTAAGATCAGCCACAAGAAGGTTCAACTCCAAGAACATTCTTGGCCAAGGAGCTTCTGGGATTGTCTACAAGGCCTGTTTTAGGGACTCAGATAACATAGCAGCAGTGAAAAGAATGAAACACGAAGGTAAACCCGAATTCGTAGCTGAATTATCCACCATAGCCAAGTTTAGGCACAGAAATCTCCTCAGGCTCCAAGGATGGTGTGCTGAGAAAGGGGAATTGCTTGTTGTGTATGACTATATGCCTAATGGGAGTCTTGACAAGGCACTATACCCGGAACCGGGGGAGGAAACGCCTCTGAAATGGCCTCACAGGTACAACATTGCAGTGGGGTTAGCCTCAGTCCTCAAATACTTACACCAAGAATGCAAGAAACAGGTGATTCCCAGTGACTTGAAGCCCAGTAATGTGATGCTGGATTCGAGCTATAACCCGAGGCTCGGGGATTTCGGGCTGTCTTGGCTGATGGATCACGACAAGACCCCCACGGGAACAATGGGGTACGTGGCCCCCGAGTATGTTCTGTATGGGCAAGCAACTGAGGAAAGCGACGTTTACAGCTACGGGGTGGTGGTTTTAGAATTGGCTTGTGGGAGGAGGCCTGTTAGGGGCAAGAAAATGGAGAGATTGGTGGATTGGGTGTGGAGGCTTCACTATGAAGGGAGGATAATTGAAGCTGCAGATAGGAGATTGAATGGGGAATTCAGAGAAGATGAAATGAGGAAGGTGTTGCTTGTGGGACTCAGCTGTGCTAACCCTGACAGCAATGAAAGGCCTTCCATGAAAAGAGTGTTGCAGACACTAATGAATGAGGTTGAGGCTATGGCTGTTCCCAGGATAAAGCCTACTCTCACTTTCTCTAACACACTGCTTCTTAGGACTCATGAAATCTTCTCAGATGATGAAAAGAGTGGATTTCTGGAACTCAATTTGAGGTCAGATTCTATTGAAGAAGACAGACATGCTGCAGTTTAATGTGCTTCTGTTCTTGCTTTTGCTCATTTCTATTGTTCAAATTCTTGTTTGTAACCCTCTTTTGGTAACCTTTGATTTGAGCTAAACCTGCATGTGTTGATGTGTCTATGTAAAAATGTATAATGGAGAAGAAGTATATGCCAATCATGTTTTCTTTTTTCTTCCTTCTCACAAGTGGAATTGAGATTTTTGGTAAAGTAGCCATTTTTTTTGTTGTATACATGAGTTTCTCATCTTAAACTACTCTAATCCTAAATCCCAGAATCCCGCCCTTGAGTTGTGCACAAAGGATCCATCTTCACAACCCTACCTTGTCGTTGGAGTGTTGACTTTAGGTCACGTGGTCGACTACTTGAGCAGTTGAGCTAGCCTCGAAGGAGCCATTATTTTATCACCTCGCGAGAAAAGTATGAGATTCTAACAAAACGATAGAGAGGATGTGACAAAGGAACTATTATTTAACAATCTTTGAAAAAAAGTTTGGAATTTTCTTACCAAAATATGATAGAGTTGAATATGTGTGTGCAAAAACTACTCAAAAATGGGTAATTTAAAGAGTTTGATTCTTTTAAGAAAAATTTTAAATTCGAGTCTTGTGAATAAAGTAATATACATCAAGAGAACTCGTTCATATAATATCCAACCATAACTTAGATCTGATAGAGATATTTAGTAAGGGTACTAAAGAGAGCAAATAAAGATATATCTGTATACAGCCAATTTAATAGAAGATGGTAAATATTATTATTAATATAAAGATGTGTTATCATCAAATTAGCATTAAATTAGAAATAAAATATCTATATAGACTATATATTCTACAAAATAATAAAATAAAAATAATAATAATAACTACTCGAGAAGCAAGTTGACTGGTGGCTTTGCAGTTTGACTTTCTGAACAAATTGACAGAGTCAAAAAGGTTAAATAACTGACTGATCCCACTCTCCCCATTCTCCCCACCTTCTGCAAAATAACTAACATAACTGCCATGGAATATGCTTTCCACTTCCCTCTTTTCTCCATCTATATAAACTCACCTCATATCTCTCATTCCATTACTACATTGCTCTTCAGACTCCAAAGTTCTTCACAATCCAGAAGAGAAAAAAATGGCTTTTCTTGCATCAGGTTTCGCCACATTAATTGAGAAAGCTCTCTTCACCACTCTTCTCTTGACTTCCATGGCTTCTGTCCCGGTTTCTTCCTTGCAGTTCGAGGTTGGTGGCAACAATGGTTGGGCAAAACCTACTGGAAACGAGTCCGAGACTTACAACGAATGGGCAATTCAAAACCGGTTTCGAATTGGAGATACCCTTTGTCAGTTTCTATACATCTAAGCTAAGACATTTGACATAAGACAAAATGGTATGTTTAATGTAAGGTTCCTGATATGTTTTCTTTTTGTTTTGTGTTTTTTTTTTTTCAAGATTTCAAGTACAACGATGACTCTGTGCTGGAAGTGAGCTATGATGATTATACAAACTGTGATGCTTCAAATCCAATTGTGAAATTTGATAATGGAGAGACAGTTTTTGAGTTCAGGCGCTCTGGTTTGTTTTTCTTCATTAGCGGGAGGCGAGGCCACTGTGAAGCTGGCCAGAAACTGATTGTCCGTGTGCTGCACCCATCCGAGGTTGTGTCTGCTGCAGGGCCCGCAGCCTCCCCGGCACCAGCCCCGGGTGGCGATGAATGGGACCCGCACAACTTAGGACCGCCCCCGCGACACAATTCTACTTCCAAGCTCTCTGTTGCTTCTTACTTCATTACTGCCCTGGGAGGAGTTCTGGTGTTTCTCTATTTGCTCATGTAGTGTAGGTTCAGTTTTGTTTGGTTGGTGTTCTTTAGTTTCTGTTTCAGAAATTTTTATGTGCCACTTTGGCTTCATAGTTCATTCAATTCTTTCTGGGTAGTTTTTCTTTCTAGGGCATTTGATATTGAACAATGAATCTTTGTGTTGGTGCTTTGTTTTATTGATGATAATAAATTTCAGTTTCTTATGCAATTCTGGGATTCATTGCACACAATGCCTATATAAGCCAAGAATGACAGAACAAAGAACATGATTTAGGTACCAAATCTTAGGTATTCCAATGGTGTTGTTCTCCAACCTTTTACATTGTACAGAGTTTCAAATCAAGTATAACATATCTTAGAATGAAAACAAAAAATTCTATTAAAACACAAAGGAGGGATTGATTATATACAGCTCTGGGCAAAAGTTGTGTGTTTTTCATCTTCTATCATTTCCTCTACTTTATTAGCCTTTGAAACTTCACATACTCCTTTGGTTCGGATGGCTTCGGCCTGATCTGCAAATAAGACTTTCGAAAGGGGTGAACTGCAAATTTGTCTGTATACTTCATAGTTTGCAGCATGTGTGCAACCACCCTCCAGAAGTCTTGAGAGAGGATGCAAAACTGATATTGGATCATTGCTCCTCCCTAAAGTTTCCATTGTGTCGAGGAACGAGGTTGCCATTTCTGTTTTGCTGAACTGAACAAAGGCAGCAGTTTTATCTATGAAGTAGATGGAAGGAGCTGAGTTTTGACCAAAAACTCTTGATATGCAATCTCTAATGTCAGATGGTTTTAGATTAGATGGTAAGCCCCACAAGAGAACAATGTTTTGAAACGGAATTTCCCCGGACTGACTTTTGAGATTGCTAGAAGACAAACAGTCTGCATTCCGCTTTCCAGTTCTCAGATCAACGATGTCTCCACTAACCCAACTAAGATAGAGAAGATTGATGTAGTTTTGAAGTTTCTTTTCGTCAGCTAGACCAAGTGGGGGTGAATGTGTCTTGAAATCAACTCCGAGATGACTGCATGCTTGAGCAAATACGCATCCTGTCATAAATGCATCATAGCCGGCCTCATGTTTTGCTCCAGAGTTCCAGTTCAAGGACCTGTGGATATGAAGTTTAGTTGCAGAAGAAGCATTATATCTTTTAGTATCAATAGGGAAAGACAAGATAATGATCAGAATACGAGTTGGGGAAGCAAACCTCTTCTCATCCACTTGAACCTCCACTTTAACGCAAGATTTATCAGCCAAACTATAGCCTTTAACACCCGACGCAATTTCAGGACAGAGAGAAGCAAATGCTTTAGATAGTGACGTGCTGCTTTTCTTCTTCAAAGACTGAAAAGAATCATTTGCATTCAAGAGTACTTTTGTGTCAATTATGTGTGGAAAGTAGTTGTGGAGAGACGTGGCATATTCTTCAGCAGTCCAAGGGAGTGGGCCAATGAATTTGTTATATATATGAGCAAAGTCTGTATAATAGAAACAAAGCTATAATTCTATAAAGGTCAATGTACACCAACAATAATAACAATAGCAGTACTTATAACTCGAGGATCATTTTACCAAGAAAGCAGTTGTGACCAACAACCAGTTTCTTCTCAGAGGAAAGGAGATCAATAACATTTCGAAACCCGACAGCAGCTTTTACTTTCCTTTGTCCTTCGTTAAGAATGCAGTCCTTTACTTCCTTCTACAAAATATGAAGATACAAATCGATTTGATCGATAATGCTCAAGAAACTGACCAGACAAAGATATAATTTCTCTGCATGACCATTTTTAGCTTCTTCATACTGAGAAAAATTCTAGGGTTCAAGGTGACTTGATATTATAAAATAATTAATATTTCAACAGTTTGAAGAAATAAAAACCATGGTGAAGATGAGACGATTTGAAGTAAAAATTTTGATAGCATAGATTAGTCATACAGAAACTTTTGATAGCATAGAGCATCTGGGTTCAACATATAGGATCAAGATTGGGTCATACCATAAGCAAATCCCTGTCATCTTTGGAATCTGTATAAACAACCAATTGCTGTGGACACAGAGTTTCATCATCAGTGACACGAACAAATGCAAGATCTTTGAAATGCTTTTCTGTGACCTACACAATTCACTAGTCATCATAAGTACATAAACACATTCAATCAAACTAGTATAGAACTCAAGACTTTGAAAAAATATTTGCCCAAACTCCTGATCATCATTGTCTTGGTTATAAATGAACAGATTCTAAATCCAATTGAAAAAGTAAGTTACCAATTGGATCAACTTTTTCTGGTGAGAAGTAAATCCACTAAGCACAACGGCTGGGCGCATTTTGAAGAAAATTGTCTGAAATCTCTGGTCTGAATTATTTGGAGTCTGTTGGAATTCGGAACTATTATTCCTATCCTGTAACAGCCCATCACGCCATTCACGGATCTTGATTTTCATTCGCTCAGCAAATAGAACATCTGCCATCCTAGCATATTGCAAGTCTCCAACTTCCTTTACGCTGGACAATGAATCAGAAGATTCATCCATGTAGATAGAATTTAAGCGTTCCAATGCTATTGTTTCTTGGTTTCTGGATAAATACGAGACCCCTGATATCATAGAAACGACATCTCAAAAATTAGCAACAATTTGGGTTGTTGCAAATATAATTCAGCAAAATCTAGAGCTTACTAATTTCATATAATCTAAAGATATATACTCCAGTGTCCTACAGTCACCAGCCCCACCTCAAAGTAAAGAAGGGAACAATAGACTTCTTAGTATGCCCTAATGGAACTAAACCTTCTCTCTTAGAATTTACTACTCATAAACTATCCAGTATCTCCTGTTAACTGAAAAATATATTTTAACTGACCAAGACAACTAGTAACTGATTTAAGCTTGCATAATCATTCACTGGTATTGTGTAAACTGTAAAGAGAGTACAAACTTGTTCGAGAGAGCAGTAAATACCTTCACTTATGCATGTATTGAAATCAAACTGGTACTTGACCAAGAAATCGAGTGACGTTGTCTGGCATAAGAACTCATAAGATTGGTCATTTCCTGGAATTTCTTGCCGAGGAAATATGTAAAAGTTGTGTCTGACAAAGAGAGAATTAGAGTTTAGTAATTATCTAGTCAAAACATCAATTTTGTCAAAAGACAAGCAGAAACAAACTTTTTTTTTTTTTCATTCTAATTCTGCAATTCTTTACATAAGCATCTTGCTAGACAGAGGATGTTGTTTTTCTATTCTATCCTTCAGGTTTTCTGAAATGATGCAAAGGTTTCCAATCCTTTCTTAATTTAAAAAGAAAAGATTACTCCTTTCTTTGAAAATTCATGTTGTTTAAACTGCCAATTAGCTTCCTATCAAAATGTCGTGAAACAATACATTAAAATTACACCCCCAAAAAAAAAAAAAAAAAATTCTTAGCATTTTAATTTAAAAACTTACTACATTTCTATTGCAATAATTTTCCTTTACAAATGAACTCATCATGTACTGCAATTAATAAGAAAAGAAATTGAATGGTAGCAGTAGAAATCACAGTGACATACGGATGAGCAATGAAGAAGTGTTTGACAGAGTCCCATCGGAAGGGGCAAACGCCGAACTGAACGACGGCGAACTTCTCGGCGGAGTCCTTGACTTTGAGGTAGCGAATGTCGTAGCGGTCAAGCTCGAAGGAGTCTCTCCAGGGGGCGCTGGTAACTCCGGTCATTTCCAAGTCGATGGCAACGAAGTCGGCGGCCTTGATGAGGCCACGCAAATCTTCGAGCGCCGATTCGAAGTTGGACCTTGTAACATTCTTGAGAGCGAAGGCCGAAGAACAAAGAGCGCGGGAGAAGGAGGTGAGGCCGGCGTGAGGAGCTGAGATTAGGGTCTTAGATAAAGCCCTAATCATCCACTGTTTCTTCATTTTCTCTTCTTCTTCTTCTTCTTCTTCATGCTCGGCTCGTCAAAAGCGTGATTATGTTACCACTTACCCGGGGAAGAAGAAGAAGAAACAAGAGTTGCAGCAACTGGGCTGACCAAATTAGCCCAATACGGACTATATTTCTATATGAATGTATTAAACTTCAATATAATTGATTTTTTTTTAATTGGCTAAATTAATCACAAATTTTCGATTTGGTATTCAAAAATAAATATTCCATTTTGGCAAATTAAAAGATTAGTTAATTTGGTCTAAGATTAGCTGATTTAACAAAATACACATTCTAATTCCATCGAAAAGTACTTACACAAATACAAGATTAGTTAAGCATTAATACAATAAATTTTAAATTGTCTATGTGCAAAGCTTCATTTATGTATTCTTTATCAAATTTGATTGGTGAATTCTATATTTGTCGCTTCCTTGGCAAACAAATAAACCAATATAATCCCACATCGGCTCCACAAGAGATTGGAGATTATGGAGTGGTATTTAAGTTGGGACCAAACCTCTACTCATGAACTAGCTTTTGTGGTGGAGTTAGGGTCTTGGCTTGAGTACCGTATCATTTGGTTTTCTTGTTGAGAGGCCGGAGTGGGGTGGGAAAGGGCTACTTGGAAGAGGGATACCCGGTGCTTGATAAGGTTCAAACGGAACCGAGAAGAGTCCGGAGTGAAAGCTATCCAGAGTGAAGCCGTCCACTCATCTGGTGCCGGCCTAGCGGAGGGGCGACCTAGAAAAGGGCTACCTGGTGCTTGATAAGGTTCAGAGTGAAGCCATCCAAGGAGGAAAAGGGCTACCTGGTGCCGAGAAGAGTCTGGAGTGTGAGCCGTCTAGAGTAAGCCGCCGCGGATGTCGGCTTCTCAAGGGGTTGGCAATGATACGATCCCACATTGACTCCACAAGATATTACAGATTGTGGAGTGGTACTTAAGTTGGGGCCAAACCTCCACTCATGAATTAGCTTTTGTGGTGGAGTTAGGGTATTGACTTGAGTACCGTATCACAAACCATCATGGAGACTTTGAAGGGCATATAAGTGCATATTCCATATATTCTCTATTGTGACATTATGGCTAATAACTTTGT